GGTTATAAAACCATCAATACAAAACTATACGTTTTTTTTAACCATACACCACTAGCATTTTTCAAAAACGCTAAAAGAAATCCTTTAACTAGACATAGGAGCTCGACCTTTTGTAAGGTAATGGACATTGGAGAGTGCCGTAAATTCTTCAATTGTTGAAGGGAATGGAGGAAATAACGTGGTGTCAACGCTAGGACTCGAACTCCAGTTCTGTCGGTCATGAGATTGACAGATAAGCCCGCTCGGCTATGAAACGTACGCAGTTGCAAAGAACTAATTAGCCTCATTAGGTGGTTCTAGTTGCTGCGATAAAACCCAGTTGCTTAACCGTATTAGGTGAAGGAAGTTAATAAACAGTTTTTCTCCAACTTAACAGTTTGATTACCATTTCATTTATGGCTATTTAACTGTTTTGATTAAATATGGTAAAATAACCATTCAATAAATTGTTATTTAACCATTTTTTCTGAGAAATTTCTAACAGTGTAGCTTAAGACATATTGCATCTGAATTATATAGAACATTATTCTGCTGCAGGCATTCTGCGTATTACACCAGCAGTGCCGCTGTATGTTTTTCTTGAACCAAAAATAGTTCTTCATGGTTAGAAAAAATAAACTTTTAGTAAAACTTTTAAACTTATAAATGGTAACATTAATGAATCATTTTCCATAAACTGAGTTATTCAATAAAATAAAGAATAAACAAATGCCATATTATAGTTTTCAGAACTAGACAGACATAGTTAACAGTTTGATAAAAAAAAAAGAAAGAAATAAAGCTTTTGAAAACACTCATTTAATCATACATTTATACTGTAACTTGCTTTTGAAAGTGACATGAATGGCTAGTTCTGGAACAGATTAAAATTATCTGTTACATAAAATATCAGTCATCGCCAATGAGTGTAAACAGGGAATCTCTCCAATCCTGGCCAACTATACCCATCGTGCTCACATTAGTAAGGATTCTCATTGTTCATATTATTTTAATGGAATTCCAATCACGTTTTAACTAATCATAGAGTGCAGAAAGTGGACAGTGAAAGGAAATGTATAATAGCGCAACTATTCACGTAAAACCAGCAGTGAACTTTACGAACCCAATGTGCTTTTGAATGGCAAATGGAGCATAGCAATCGCGACGTTATTCTGTAAAATGAATAACTAGAATAAGTGAATAAGTTGAAGTGTTTCATTTTCTACCAGTCAATTACTCTTTATACATACATGTTTGAGACTAGTTGAAAGTATTGTTTGAAATGTTATTGTGAAATGTTTAAGTTATGATTTAAAATTGCGAGTTGACGTTGGGTGCTTTGTCTACCGATATGAAAGGGTAATTTAAGAGAATATGTATTATTAAGTGTCTGTCGGGGAAATATATATTTAATCTCTGCTTGGATTTCGCTAATCAACTCAAAAGAGTTGAATTAATTTTATATCTGGTGGCTATGACTCGTTTGCCAATACACGTTTGCTTATAGGATTTTTGTAGAACCTGAATAAATCGTTACAATTATAAATGCTTATTTTTAGAAAAATACGTCTTCGCTCTCAGAAATAAAACTCTCACTTTTCACGACTGAGCAATTCTTGAGCCACATTTCATTAATTATAAGAATTATTTCGTTACGAAATGAAGTGATTTGTTACGAAACGGAAACACTTAAATATATGACGAAAATGCTTTCTCAGTTCAAAGCCAAATCGTAGTGCACTGAGAATGTACTCTCAGAAATGAAACTCTCACTTTTCACGACTGAGCAATTCTTGAGCTACATTTCATTAATTATGAGAATTATTTCGATACGAAAGGAAGTGATTTATGACGAAACGGAAACACTCAAATATATAAGACGAAAATGTTTCCTCAACTCGAAGCCTAATCGTGGGGACTAAGAATGATTGTTAACTAGAATTGCAAAACTAGGGTGACTATCGAAAATAAAGTGGCGAAATAAATTGACCGGACTGTATGGTCAAGGGTTGGTTTCGTACCAGGATGATCCCGAGTTCGAAACCCGCTTTGGGCATGGGTGTAATATATCCCTCTGTTCAATCTGTATTTCTTGTGTCATGAAGGTGACATTAATCTAGCTATATTTCGTCCACGATTAAATTATTATTCGAAAAGTTCGACACATTAGACACTACGAGGTTTTCTGTTTTAGAAAAAATAGATTCACGAAATATTTCATTATTACTGACGAAATTCATTTCCTCGTAGAAGTGATGTTTTTTTTATAAAGCATATTTCGTCACTTTAACGAAGTGTTTGATTGGAGCATTTACAAAGAAACAGTTTCTTCAAAAACGGAGAAATTTGTTTCGTGAAATTTGAGTTTCCATTTTTTACTGCGTGTATATTTCGTCGAGGTAAAATTTTAAGTAACAATTGACAAGGCTTTCACATAAATTGTGCATCTGTTTGCTATTTAAGTCTTATAATAAATTGTTTTGGATCGCCAAATACCTGCACAACGAAGCAGGTTTAAAAACTATGATAAAGACTTATTGATTAATAACGCAAAGCCATTTATTAAACAATTTCTCAAAGTTAAGAAAAGTCTTTGTTTTATTTTAAAACGGTATGTAGTTTGTCGTAAAAATGAGGTTAAGTGCTTCAAGGGATAAAACAACCCTCAGTTCTTCATTTTTATATTTTATTTCAGCTTATAGTACATAAAACAGGGTGTTAAAATTATTTTTCAAAACTTGAGCCTGAAGCGAAGTTGCAATGACAAATATTGGAATGACTAAGATTTTCCTAAGTGCTTTGGCAATGATTTTGGTAAAGCAAAAATAAAGTAATGTTTAACAATATGTGATTCACATATTGCAAAACCATAAATATTTGGTAAATGAGGTAAAATTTAGTAACTTTGCAATGGTACCTTAAATCATTACCTAAAACCATAATTTTGAGTTTCTTTACTAAATGTGCGGTAATAAGTACTATACTTTTGAGCATGATTTGCGGTTAACCAATACCATATGAATGGAAAATTTACAAATGGACAGTGTTTTTTTTAAGTTTATAGTATAATCACATAGCATAAGTAATCATATTTGAAATTAATTATAAAACATTAGCTTATTTTATTAAACAATATATTTATCACGTGATAAACTTTTATGTATCACGGTTATATATTTGCAAAGTAAAATATAAAGTTTTTTAATGTGCCTCGATTTACTTGCAGAAATAATGTAGTGAAATCGAAATTAACCAAAAACTGGAGTGATATTTTAAAATATTAAACAATTTAAGTGATAAAGTAGCGACCACGCGTAATCCTTTAAGTTCTTTATGCATAACAGCTCTATGCAGTAATTATCTTAAATACTTAATTAGCTGCACAATTAAATATTTTACGTTTTTATGTAAAAAAAAATTATAAGCTTCATACATGTTTTTTTAAAAGTTAATTAGTCTCTTTACACAGAAACCTAAACAACAGATTAAGCTCATTGTCTCTTTACATAATCATACTTGAAATCAGTTATAAGAATTTACCTTATTTTATTAAACAATATGATAATTATCACATGATTAAAACTTTTGTGTAATAGATACAAACTTGTTAAGCAAAATAAACTTTTAATGTATCTCTATTTACTTGTTGATACAATTTAGTTAAATAGAATTCATCCCAAAAACTTAAATGAAAGCGATATTTTAAAATATTAAACAATTTAAAGGATGAACTAACGATCTTGAGTAATCCTTTAAACTCTTTAAGCATAACAGCTCTATGCAAAGTACTAAGCGCAATAATTATCTTAAGTAATTAATTAGCTACACAATTAAGCATTTTATGGTTTTAAGAAAAGAGACTATAAGCTTCATAAATGTTTTTCTCATTATGCCAACAACGGATGAGTTTCTAATTAATGTAGTTCTTAATTACTGAGACAAGATTATTTTTTTCTGCAGGATTGTAAGTCCTCCGAAAGAGAATAAAAATATTTCATAGAAGTAACTCTCGATGCTTTCAATAAAAAGAGTAATAGTTAAGTGAATTTAAGGATAATTATTCATTGAAATAATGGTAATAGGATTATTTTTCAACTTGAAGTTCTTATAATCTATTCAACCTTATTTTTGTTTAAAACAATTCATTAGTCAGTTTTATATTAATTTTAAAGAAGTTGTTAAGTTTTTTTTTTAAACAGAAAATTCATTAACGGAGCGATATTATTTATCTTGCTAAGAGATTTACTTTTTATTTCCTATGTAGACTTATAAAAAGTGAAGTTATATACCTTTGCTATATTTTAATGATTACTCATATTATTTTATGAAAAATACTGCATCTAGTTCAGCTAAATACTAATTTTAATGTAAAATTAAATTGAAATTACTTTCACTAAATTTTGTTATTTTTACTTCTACCCTTAAAAGTAAAAAAAGCAATTTTCATCAATTTCAACATATTTATTTCGACAAACTGAAAATAATTTTTTTTTTTAATATTTATAAAATTGTAATCATTGGGGAAATAATTTTTACTCTCTCT